TTCTCAACAGCAATAATGGAATCCAGAACACAGTAGACCAATATCTTCAAAAGGTTAAAGGTAAATAACTGACATCCAAGAACTGTTCCTTCAGGGAAACTATCTCTCAAGATTAAGGGCAAAATACATTTTCAGCTAAGCAAAATTAGAGTTTACCACCAAGAGATTCACTAAAACAACTGTTTAAGTTCCTTTAGTTTCTTTCAGGGTGAAGAATAATGATTCCTGAGTTTCAAAAAGGAGCAGTGAGGCCGGGCGCAGTGGCTCACGCCTGTAATCCTAGCTCTCTGGGAGGCCGAGGCGGGCGGATTGTTTGAGCTCAGGAGTTCGAAACCAGCCTGAGCAAGAGCGAGACCCCGTCTCTACTAAAAATAGAAAGAAATTAATTGGACAACTAAAAATATATAGAAAAAATTAGCCGAGCATGGTGGTGCATGCCTGTAGTCCCAGTTATTTGGGAAGCTGAGGCAGGAGGATCGCTTGAGCCCAGGAGTTTGAGGTTGCTGTGAGAGAGGATGACGCCACGGCACTCTAGCCTGGGCAATACAGTGAGACTCTGTCTCAAAAAAAAAAAAAAGGAGCAGTGAGGGGGAAAAATAAAAATTGGTGATTAAATCTAAAAAAAATGACTACATAAAATAATAAAAACAATATCTAATTTGTGGGTAAAAAAAGAGAGAGGGAAAGATAAAACCAAAATATTTGGCAACTATGGCATATAACTCAAAACAGAGGTAATGGTCATTCCAAAGTTCTAAGGTCCTTATATTTCTGAAAGGAGGATAAAGATTCTGATTACCATTACAGATAATCAATTTAGGGGTACATATTATGATTTCTATATTAATATCTAAAAGAATACATGGAGATGATATAACTGGATAGCCATAGGCAAAAGAATAAAGTTGTACCCCTACCTTATACCATCCATGAATATTTATTCAAATGAATCATAGGCCTAAATGTAACAGTTAAAACTATAAAACTCCTCTTAGAGGAAACCATACGTTTAAATCTTCATGACCTTAAGTTGGGCAACAATTTCTAAGGTACAACACCAGAAGCCCAAGCAACAAAAAAATATAAAGATAAGTTGGACTTCATTAAAATTTAAAAATTTTTTGATGCAAATGATACCCTCAAGAAAGTAAAAAGATAACCCACAGAATTAGGAGAACATTTTTGCAAATCATGTATCTGATAGAGATGTTTACACAGATTATATGAATAACTCTTTTTGTAATAAACTCAATAATAAACTCCTGAAAATGGCAGACTAGAAACAGCCTGCACACACTGCTGCTCTCAAAGGAGAGGATCAAAAGTTGCAAGGAGATGTTCACCTACAGACCGATTGTATTAGAGCACTGTGAATTATCAAAGAAGCAATGGGAGACAAGCAAAGTGAAGGAGAGGGAAGCTGGGTAAACTATTTGGCAGAATCGGAAGGCACCTGGGGGAAGGCACCCACAAACAAATGAGGAAGGGTCAAAGGAGAGAGCCCAGGGGCCACACTCTCCCTGCAGACACAGCAACCTGAGCTGCAAGGGGTTGGCAGCACTGACACCACCACCACCACGGCAGGTACCAGACTGATCAGGGAGCTGCTTGGAGACTGTACAGCAGCTCTGAACCAGAGAGCAGGCACGGCAGGATCCCACTGGCTTCTGATCCTGGGTTACTACCATTTTAGCCATTCTGGGCTCTCAGCGCTAGAGTGCCTGGTAAACACAGGGGTTGACTCTACTGCAGCCACCTCTCCCATCGCACCTGCCAGGCCAGGGAGGGAGTGGGCAGAGCAACATGCCCCTGTGACTGGGTGCCGAGTGCCCCCCAACCCCAGGCACTGGAGGATCCTAGAAGAGCAGGTGCCCATGGCCCCCAACATCCACCACTACCATATGGATAGCACTACCACTGCTGCTGCTGCTGTCACCTGAGAGGCACCATAGCAATTACCATTACCAGTCCTGCGTGGAAAGAAAGCCACGGCCATGGCAACTTGCCCACAGCACACCTGCCCTCTTCAAGCTGCCATGACAATGCACACTGCATGCTTCAGCACTGCTGCCAACCATGTGCTGAGCAGTCACCATTGCCCAACCCTGTCATGCCGTGCCTGGCTGCCATGGCCCCATCCACCACATGCCACCCAGCCCCAACCGCCCCACTCCCCAGATGCCATCACAGTCCTCCCCCTTGCACTCTGCCTGAGCCTGGACTATGGCATACCACCCACCATCCACCACCATGGATCCACTCCCCTCAGCTCCCCCCCTCTACATACCACCACTGTACCCGGACCTCTGCGGAGCCAACTCCCACAGACCTCCCACTGTGGCCACCATCTAAACAGCCTCACCCAGGCGCCACTACCACCACTGCAGGGAGATCCAGGAAGAGCAAACTCCCACACCACCTGCGTCCGTGGAGAAGCAAACACCCAGTCCCCTGCCCGACCTTCCAACAGGGGCCTGGAGACCAACCCATCACTCTGTACAATATGCCCCACCACTGGCTTGGACTGTGACAACCACAGGGGAATGGGACAATACTGGAGAACAGATGCATCTCAAAGAATCCACTTCTGTCCTGCTGGGTCAATCTGGAGTAGGACACAAGTGTGTAATCCAGAGACCTCTCTTTCTTTCCACTAAGTAGGAGAGCTCCCATCACAGAAGAGCAAGTGCGTCATGAGTTTATCTGTCTTGAGCTGAGAGGAGAGGTTTGAGACGAGAAGGAACCAGCATTGTATTGGGTATTATAAGTAACCTAGAGATGATTTAAAGTATACAAGAGAATGTGCATAGGTTATATGCTAATACTACACCATTTTACACAAGGGACTTGAGCATCCTTCGATCTTAGTATCAGGGGTTCTAGAACTAATTACCCACAAATACCAACGGACAGCTATATCTGCAGAAGACAGGGCTGTTACCTAAAACAAAACAAAACAAAACAAAAAAAAACCCTTAAAATTCAAAAAGAAAACAAACCACCCAATTAAAAAACAGGCTAAAGACCTTAACAGAGACCTCACCAAAGAAGATATACAGACGGCAAATAAGTATATGAAAAGATATTCCACATCACACATCATCAGGGAAATGCAAATTACAACAACAAAATATCATTACATACCTATTAAAATAGCAAAATCCAGAACACTGACAATACCAAATGCTGAGTAGGTTGTGGAGCAACAGAACTCTCATTCATTATTTGTGGAAATGCAAAATGGTACAGCCACTTTGGAAGGCAGTTTCTTACAAAACTAAACATACTCTTATCTTTTGAACCAGCAATCATGCTCCTTGGTATTTACCCAAAGGAGCTGAAAATTGACATCCACACAAAATCTACACATGGATGTTTACAGCAGCTTTACTCACAATTGCCAAAACGTGGCAGCAACTAAGATGCCCTCGGTAGGTGAATGGATTAAAAAACTGTGGTATATCCTGACAATGGAATATTATTTGGTGCTAAAAACAAGTGAGCCAGCAAGCCATGAAAAGGCATGGAGGAGAGGAACCTTAAATGCATATTACTAATGAATGAAGCCAATCTGAAAAGGCAATATAATGTATGATTCCAACTATATGACATTCTGCAAAAGGCAAAACTATAGAGACAGTAAAAAGACCAGTGGTTGCTAGGGGCTGGGGGAAGGAAGGGATGAATAGGCAGAGCACAAAGGATTCTTAAGGCAGTAAAATTATTCTGTGTAATACATAATGATGGATGCATGTCATTATAAATTTGTCCAAACTCACACAATACACAACACCAAGACTGAACCCTAATGTAAACTATGGACACTGGGTGATGATAATGTGTCAATGTAGGTTCAACAATTTTAACATATGTACTACAGTGGTGGTTGATGATGATACTGGGGGGAGGCTGTACATATGTGGGGACAGGGGGATCTGAGAAATCTCTATACCATCCAAAGAATTTTTCTGTGCTCTAAAAAAGAAAGTCTATTTAAAAAGTGCTATCACTACCACAAGGAGATGTCTATCAGAATAGTATTATACTATCAGAATAGCTAAAATTTTAAAAACACCAAATGCTAACAAAGATAAAGAGAAAACTGGATCACTTATACATTCACGGCTGATGAAAATGGTACAGCCACTCTGGAAATAGTGTGATTGTTTCTTTAAAACCTAAACATGCAATTATATTACACAACTCAACAACTGCACTCCTGGGCTTCTACCCACCCCAGAAAAATGAAGACATATGCTCACACCAAAACCTGTGCACACATGTTTATTCATAACAGTCAAAAAGCGGAAACAACCCAGATGTTTTTCAATGGGTGAATGGTTAAACAAAGCATCATCTCTCCAATACCACCATTGTTGAATACTACCCATCAATAAAAAGGAATGAACTGTTGATACAACACAACAACCTAGATGGATCTCCAGAGGTAAAAGTCAATTCCAAAAGGTTAAGTATTTTATCCATTTATACAGCATTCTTGAAATGACAAAATTATAGAAATGGAGCATAGATTAGTGGTTTCCAAGAGTTAGGAGGTGAAGAGAGAAGTGGGAGTGGGCAACACGAGGTATATGGAATTGTTCTGTATCTTGACTATATCAATGTCAATACCCTGGTTGTGATACTGTACTATAGTTTTGCAAGATATTGCTATGGGGGAAAATGGATAAAGGGTTTCTGTAAATAAAATGATAAATGATAAATAAAATCTCTCTGTATTATTTCTCAAAATTGCATGTGAATCTATAATTACCTCAATATAAAAAGTTTAGTTACAAAAAAATGAAGGGAAAACTGTAATGTGACCAAAGGTACAATTTCTTTTGATATATAGCAATATTGAACATTATTAAATATTCAAACACTACTTTATAATTTTTAGTTTGGAACAATAAAACATATCCCTTGAATATTCTCATATCACAACCATTCTCATGAATCTGAAGATTCATAACTAAAGACCAAGAATTTTAGCTCACCTTCCACACTGTCAGAACAGGAGGTTCCAATGCCGGTGTCTCCACTGTCAGAAGCTATACTATGTCTCCTGATATGGTTATTTCGATGGTTAGATGGAACAGTTGTGGCCTGCCACAATGATTCACTACCAGGTAACCATGCTGATGAATAATCTGGGCCTACAAAGGAAAATATGCAAAAGTTAACACATATAGAATACCTGAGTAGGCAGAAGAGTTTTTTTTCACCTTGTGAAAAATACATATAGGGTATAAAACGGTTATTTTCTGCCCAAAATAATTTAAAATGATCGATAAGATTCACCAAATAAACTTATATGTCTCATGCATATCAATTCAATTCTGATCTCAGAGCTTCCTCTGGCTGAAGAACTCTGTTTTTTGCTTCTGGGTATTGAACTTTTAAACATGTACTGTTATCTTATTAAAAATTTTAAATCTACCTATTTATCTTCAAATGTCAGTACTCTGGAATAATAGGTAGGAGTCTGTGATTCTACATACAGGCATTAGTTGAGAATTGGAGCTCAGGGAAAGTCTAATTCAATAATACTGCCTGACAATATAAATAGAGTATGTACATGGAAGATCAAAAAAATCTACTTTTCTACTATATCCTAATCACATCAAATGAGAAATTATTTTACATTATTTTAATTGAATTTGTTTTATTTCTTTAACTTTTGATAAAAGTTTAACAGCATAGCATTTTCCTACTCTTATCTTGATTTGCCCCTTTGAGTTATAATAAATCTTTATTTTTTAGCTAACTTAAGGCTTTTCAATGTTCTCTAAATGTTTATTTTCACTTGTCTTGCCCATTTTTACTTAATTTTTATTTGCCTTTTTCTGTTTTACCCATCACTTTACTTAACTTCATTCTTTTACTGTCAAGTATAATGCTACTCAAAGGATATCCATGGACCAGTGCCAGTTTGAATTATGTATTACAAGTTAGATGCAGAAATAAAGAATAAGTATTTGGAAATTGTTATAGTACTGTAATTAGAAAGAGCAATTTTAAATCTTCTGAATTTAATATAAAAGCTATAGAAGAACAAATCTTTACTGATGCCTTAATACCGTGATTCTCAAATTGGGGCTTATAGACATATTCATGAAAGTTAAATTCTCTACATGAATTTTAGCTTTTGAATCCTTTAAAAATTAATAAGCATATTACAGATTATCTGAATAGCTACCTTAAAATATTATTTCTACATAATTTTAATACTCCTATTATCTGTATAGCTATCTTAAAACAGATTTATCACATAATTCTAATGCCTCCTATTGATGTTTGTAATTGCAGTTGCTTCTAAGTAAGAGCAAATGACATCACTGGGCACTTACCACGATTTGAAACAAGATAGCTTTACAGAATTATCAAGTGACACCCGACTGAAATTGGTATGCAAGAAATGCCTTCTGGCAGTTTAAACTTAGGCTCACAAAATAACAAACATGTGCATAAAATTAATTACACCATTTTTTACCACATTTTTAGGAACAGTCATTCTCTATATTAATATTAAAATCAAAACACATAAACAAATAATAAAACCAGACCTGAAGCTACTTCTGTCATAGTAATCCCAACATTAACTACTCAGTTTTAATAAAACATTATGCCATGTAAATATTATTTTAGAGATTTAAATATAATTTGCAAATTAAATTTGGGCTTTATAGATGTATGAAGTATATAAGAAGGCTTAAAAGCCATATACATTTAAATTAACAACCCAAAATTGAAAAATATTAGCCAAAGAGACACTTCTATCACTTGGAGGTCCAAAATAGCCACTTAATACTCTAGACCTCTCTCAGAATGGGACTTATTTTAATTCGTGTGATTAAATACTCTTACATTAAAGCACTAGATGAAGGTATTCTGTCACCAGATCTGTTCTAACTCTGATATGTGGTCTAAAATCTATAGCAAAATGTTTTCTTCAATCAGGTAATAACCCATCTAAATGAATTCAAAGTCCTATCTAAACCATCCTCAAAACAGCAACCAGCCCACTACTTTCTCTCATAAGTACAAACCTATTAGTTAGAGAAATATTATTTTAGGAATACTCTGTAATAGCATAATTAGGCTGGGAGTACATATAAATGGAAAACAATGAAAAGATCCCTAATCTCACTAATAATGAAAGAAATGAAAATAAAGTTTTTGGATTTTTTAAATTATCACATTGGCAAATATTTGAAAGAGTAGTGTCAACAAAGTGAAGGGAATGTTCATATTTTCTGTGGCCTTGTAAATTGGTACAACCTTTCTAAAGTGCAATCTGGGAACAGGTATCTAAATTTCAAAATATTCATGACTTCCTACTGGGAATTTACCCTAAAGAAATACCAGATAAGTACAAATATATGTAAACACAAGGACATTCCTAACAGCACTGCTTAAAATAAAATAAACAAATGCCTAGAAACAAAAAATGTATGTAAATTAGTTGAAAATGTTTAAGTGCTAAAAATTATTTTACCAACCTATTTAACATGGAAGGACATCCAAAATATGTGTGTAAGACAGAAGCATTTTACATAGCTGTATATACAGCATGATTCAATGATTGGAAAAGAGTTTGTACACACATGAAAAAAACTTTAAGGGAGCTCTAAATGCTAACATTGACTATAAAGTTTTACTAAAGGCACAAATATATCACAGGAACATTTACTCTATCGTTGATTGGTATTATTCATTCTGTCAGTTTATGAGGGAAAACACTAAAAATTACATATACTGATTTGCAGATTACATCAACATTTGATTTTGAGTTTAGGAACCAGCTATAGATAAAAATACATAAATTCAATAGATTCCTAGTAACAATTTTTAACAAAAGCTGCATAAAAGCACTAAAGTAAAAACCCTTATTTTTAGTAAATGTAACTATTTTGAGCAGTATAAAGCAATGCTACATTTTAGCCCATAACTGCAGTCCCCAATCCCCAGGCCATGGTACCAGTCCATGGCCTATTAGGAACCTGGCCACACAGCAGGAGATGAGCAGCGGGCCAGTGAATGAAGTTCCATCTGAATTTACAGCCGCTCCCCATCATTTGCCATCCTCCCCTGCCTGCCCCTCAAATTGTCTTCCATGAAACTGGTCACTGGTGCCAAAAAGGTTGGGATCTGCTGGCCCACAACACACCTTCCCCCTATTTATTGTTAACAAATCTTTGCCAAGGAAACCATTTACATATTAAGAGCACATAATCGCACACGCACACACACATACAACCAGTAATGAGGGAGAAAATCCAATATATATACTAATGCTATGGTGTTATTATCAGGAGCTAGAAAAATGTTCAATAATTAGTCTTTTATAACTAACTACTGCCAGGAAGAACAGCTCAACAAAACATTTTCCGTAAAGGACCAGACAGTAAATATTTTCAGCTTTGCATGCCATTCTTCTGTCTCAACTACCCAACTCTGCCACTGTATGTAAATCAGCTGTAGACAATAGAAGAGGTGAAGCTATGCTGCAATGAAACTTAATTTCCAAAAAACAGGGGACAAATCAGATTTGACCTGTGGGCCATAGTTTGTAGTCCCCTTAAAAATTCATTCTAACTGGAAAATATTCAGTAAGATTCAATTGATTCATAATGAGTAACTCCAGTCAACATGGTACTTCATTCCTCAATTTGGAAGAAAGTCTGGTTCATCCTGGAGTACATTATGAGCAAGCCATGCTGTTCAGAATTTGGCAGTTCATGAGAATGTTATTGAGGTTTTTCAAAGATTACAAAGACAAATGTCAAAAACTATTTTGGATTTCATTTTCTAGAATAAAATGATCTCAGTTTATCTATATGGTATGGAACTCTTGGACAATGTCAAATATGTGTGATAATTAATTGACTGAGCCATAGGGTACTCAAATATTTAATCAAACATTATTTCTGTGAAGGTGTTTTTGGATGAGATTAACATTTAGCTTGGTAGACTGAATAAAGTATACTGCCCTCCAGAATGTGGGTGGCTTCATCCAATCAGTTGAAGGCCTGAATGGAACAAAAAAGCTAACCATCCCCTGAGTAAAAAAAAATTATTCCTGCCTGACAGCCTTGAACTAACACATTGGCTTAGGCCGGGCACGGTGGCTCACGCCTGTAATCCTAGCTCTCTGGGAGGCCGAGGCGGGCGGATTGTTTGAGCTCAGGAGCTCGAAACCAGCCTGAGCAAGAGCGAGACCCCGTCTCTACTAAAATTAGAAAGAAATTAATTGGACAACTAAAAATATATAGAAAAAATTAGCTGGGCATGGTGGCGCATGCCTGTAGTCCCAGCTACTTGGGAGGCTGAGGCAGGAGGATCGCTTGAGCCCAGGAGTTTGAGGTTGCTGTGAGCTAGGCTGACACCATGGCACTCTAGCCCGGGCAACACAGTGAGACTCTGTCTCAAAAAAAAAAAAAAAAAAAAAAAAAAACATTGGCTTTTTCCTGCCATCAGACTTGATAAATAGGATAAATTCACAAATAACCTCAGATTTCATTTTGTCTAGGAATTCTCTGAACTCTTCTTTGCATATCTCTACCTTAGAACAAACCTACCACATCAAACTGAAGTTTTCTGTTCATGTACCTGTCATCCTTCTAGGCTACATTAATACTCATTGAGGGCAAAGGCCACTTGTCCCAGCCCTAATTCAGAGCTACAGGCAGCATATGGTAAAGATTCAAACAAAGAATGTACATAACAACTGGAAGGAAATACAGTACAGCAAAATACTGCTATTTTTCTCTAGATGGTAGGATTACTGGTGATTTCTTTGACTTTAATGCTTTTATTTTCCTTTTAATTATTACAGTTTACTTTGATAATCAGAACTGAAACTGTATTTTTTCAAAATGTTTAAATGCTTAACCCCCACTACTAATAATAATTTACTTATCATTTAAACACTCCTTAATTTCTTAGGAGATAGTTTTTCCTGGAATGGGAACAGCAACTTTAGTTGGCCTAGTCTAGAGTAAAATGGATACATTCTACCAGATAAATCAAACCACTGTAACATCAAAAAATGTTCATAAATACAAAACCATACATTAATGTACACAGAATATTATCTATAAACTTATACAGAAAAAAGTTCCATTAATTCAAAATAACCTTGAAATAGACTGGT